AAGCCAAAGGTGCCTGGCCCGACTTGGGCTGCAGCCATGGAGCGGCCACCATCCACAACTAGCGTCTGGCACATGCGCAGAGTCGCAGCCGAGGTGGTCCTCGCCTGTGACAGGAGGTCTCCACTGAGCGCCTGTCCAGAAGAGAGCGACATATCCAGGGCCCCCGTGATGAATGCCATGTTGTTAGTCAATGCTGCATTGGCATAACATCTATCCAGCATCGCCAAGACATCCTGTCCCGCTCGGAGGGAAGGAGAGGTCTGGTGCCGGGCCACACGAATGCGGAGGGCTGCAGGGCCATGCGGACTGAATCCTCGACGTCCTGTCCCGCTCGGAGGGAAGGAGAGGTCTGGTGCCGGGCCACACGGATACGGAGGGCTGCAGGGCCATGCGGACTGAATCCTCGATCACCGGTCCAGGACCAGTCCTGCCCGCTGCAGTACATGTCGTACCCCAGAGCAGGCCTCTTGGCTGCTAGGGGCTTAGGCCACTCACGTGTCGCGTAATGGACGAACGGGTCCATCTGCGGGCACAACGTGGGTCGCATCCTCCTCCTTCCTCGAGTGGTGGCACCCACCGAGGTGAAGTCCTCCACCGTCTGGATCCAGTGACGACGTCCGACGCCGGAGGGCGAAGGGAACTCGGACGAACAAGGAAGACATCTCAGAATGAAGTAAGTACTGTGGTAGATCTCAAACGGCGCCAGAGTGAAAAAGAGGGGGTGCGGCCTTGTGCAGGGGCATTTATAGAGGAGGGTGGCTGGTGATTGGAGCAAATTATTTTGATCTCTCTGGCGTGTGACCTGGGGGTCACGTGATATCCCACTAGCGAAGTCCTAAGGGACGTAGCACCATGACGTAGAACCGCCCGCGGAGGGCCAAAGGTGAGTGGACAATTTTTTTTATATAAGGTTATATATAAGGTTATATATATATATATACAGTGCCTTGCGAAAGTATTCGGCCCCCTTGAACCTTTCAACATTTCGCCACATTTCAGGCTTCAAACATAAAGATATAAAATTTTAATTTTTGGTCAAGAATCAACAACAACTGGGACACAATCGTGAAGTGGAACGAAATTTATTGGATAATTTAAACTTTTTTAACAAATAAAAAACTGAAAAGTGGGGCGTGCAATATTATTCGGCCCCTTTACTTTCAGTGCAGCAAACTCACTCCAGAAGTTCAGTGAGGATCTTTGAATGATCCAATGTTGTCCTAAATGACTGATGATGATAAATAGAATGCACCTGTGTGTAATCAAGTCTCCGTATAAATGCACCTGCTCTTTGATAGTCTCAGGGTTCTGTTTAAAGCGCAGAGAGAACCATGAAGACAAAGGAACACACCAGGCAGGTCCGAGATACTGTTGTGGAGAAGTTTAAAGCCGGATTTGGATACAAAAAGATTTCCCAAGCTTTAAACATCTCAAGGAGCACTGTGCAAGCAATTATATTGAAATGGAAGGAGTATCAGACCACTGCAAATCTACCAAGACCCGGCCGTCCCTCCAAACTTTCATCTCAAACAAGGAGAAGACTGATCAGAGATGCAACCAAGAGGCCCATGATCACTCTGGATGAACTGCAGATAACTACAGCTGAGGTGGGAGAGTCTGTCCATAGGACAACAATCAGTCGTGCACTGCACAAATCTGGCCTTTATGGAAGAGTGGCAAGAAGAAAGATATCCATAAAAAGTCTTGTTTAAAGTTTGCCACAAGCCACCTGGGAGACCCACCAAACATGTGGAAGAAGGTGCTCTGGTCAGATGAAACCAAAATCGAACTTTTTGGCCACAATGCAAAACGATATGTTTGGCGTAAAAGCAGCACAGCTCATCACCCTGAACACACTATCCCCACTGTCAAACATGGTGGTGGCAGCATCATGGTTTGGGCCTGCTTTTCTTCAGCAGGGACAGGAAGATGGCTAAAATTGATGGGAAGATGGATGGAGCCAAATACAGGACCATTCTGGAAGAAAACCTGTTGGAGTCTGCAAAAGACCTGAGACTGGGACGGAGATTTATCTTCCAACAGGACAATGATCCAAAACATAAAGCCAAATCTACAATGGAATGGTTCACAAATAGACGTATCCAGGTGTTACAATGGCCAAGTCAAAGTCCAGACCTGAATCCAATCGAGAATCTGTGGAAAGAGCTGAAGACTGCTGTTCACAAACGCTCTCCATCCAACCTCACTGAGCTCGAGCTGTTTTGCAAGGTAGAATGGGCAAGAATTCTAGTCTCTCGATGTGCAAAACTGATAGAGACATACCCCAAGCGACTTGCAGCTGTAATTGCAGCAAAAGGTGGCGCTACAAAGTATTAGCGCAGAGGGGCCGAATAATATTGCACGCCCCACTTTTCAGTTTTTTATTTGTTAAAAAAGTTTAAATTATCCAATAAATTTCGTTCCACTTCACGATTGTGTCCCACTTGTTGTTAATTCTTGACAAAAAATGTACTTTTAATATCTTTATGTTTGAAGCCTGAAATGTGGCGAAAGGTTGAAAGGTTCAAGGGGGCCGAATACTTTCGCAAGGCACTGTATATAAGGTTATATATAAGGTTATATATATATATGGTTTTATATATATACTGTACATATATGTATATTCACACAGCGCACATGTCTGTTGAAGTGGAAAGGCAGATACGTGTCTGTGGTAGATGCCTGGAGCATGCCTACCGAGCCACGCGACCAGGTAAATATGATCCTTGTTTTGTCAAAATACATACTTGTGTTATTTGTTCAATAAAACAATAGAATCTCAGTTACTTGGTACTGGTGATGAAAGTGAGGAGGTTTGTGTCGGCAGATCTGAGACGACAGGTGCAACAGTAATGATGGATGAAGAGAACAACGAGATAGAGGTTTCTGGTTCAGTGGGACGCAAAACGAGTTGTTTGAGGACAGGGGTGATACGGTTTCTGGATGTAACCATATCATAATGAGTGTGTCTCTCTAGATGTATACTGCAGTTTTTTGATGACGAGATTACTTTTAGGTGAAGTAAATACATTGCAGTACATCCCTTGATTAGTCCAGTGAAATGTCAACAGGAGATCAGCACAATAGCATGTTACAAATGACCAATTTCAACATCAGTCCACTTTTTTTTATTTCACATTGAAATGACAGCCATTCTGTAGGCCTGATTCAGCAAATATCCAGAGCTACTGATGGAAGCAAACATGAAACAATATTAGTGATGCTAACAAAGTGGACCTAAACAGGAAGCACAGAGGGGGTGTCAAAAGAGTCAGTACAGCTAACAACATGCAGATCTAATTGACGAAGTCAGGAACAAATGCGTTTATCCATCACAAGTGACTAGAGATGGCAAAAAGTGTTGGCTACTAGGTAATTAGGATAGAGTGATACTTGTTTTAATTTTATGTAAAAAAAAGTTGAGCCAACTTTTTTCTTGACAAGTTTACAAATTGTCTCTGCTGTGACGATTTAGTTCAAATACTACCGTGCCGGAGATTGACTTTTATCTATGCACAGAGACAGGACGTTTAATTCTATTCCATTTCATTACGTCTTTTTACATGATTGCTTATGAATTATTTACCCATTATAGTGGTTCCTAAACTTGATACAAGAAATATAATTTAGTTTGTTCATTTTTGAGGTTGAAAACTCTCATCAACTGTCGGTCACCAACAAGAGTCACTTGTCCAAAAATGGGGGTCTCATTGGGTGTTCAGGGGCAAGTGAATTTTCAACTTAAAAAACACGCAGTCTGGAGATTACATAGATATTTTCTATTAAAAGCACAACCAAACAAAATAATAATAAAAAATAGCCGTACGGTTGACGAATGCAAAAAAGATTCAATGAATGAAAGAGGTCTATTCCCCCTTCAACGGTTTTTTTATTAGAAATATTTGAATGGAAGAAACTTTTAATGTTGATATGCTCCTTCATGAAGGGTAGATGTTCTGTGTGTAGTCCCATAGATGGCAGTCTGAGTGCAACCCTGAGGTGCCCCAGTTATTTTTTCATCACAAACCATTCCATGTGTGATAGCTGTTTTTATTGACACTTACACAAGTGAAATGTGATATGTTATACATACACAAACACAGGCAGAAATATTTCTAAGCACTTTGTGCAGAGGTAACCCAGGATGTAACAAGACCAGGCAAGCGAGAGAGGACAGAAGCAGGTGCCCCTGTCACTCAACACACTCAGAGAAGTTCTGTATGTACACCTTCATCAAAATCTGTTCCTCATCCATTCATAAACATGAAGATGACATGTGCATTTCTATAAAAAAGGGTTGGCACATTATGGCATAAACAAATGTGCAAACTATAGAAAACGTCTGTATTTTTAATACAAGACATATGACTTTTTAGAGTCCTTCTGCTAACCAGCATAATACATTCTTCCAACATTCACTGCAGCCTCAAATCTCTCAGTTAGTACCACCTCATAATACTAACATGCTTTAGAATCCAGAAAACGTATCATAATGACATACTTATCAGAACAAAACATATGTGATACACTTCATTTCCCATTGTCAACATTACAATCATCATGCCTTTCACTAAACAATATTTGTTCCTCTGAAATGTGTAGAAGTGACTATTAATAAGGATCTGAACAAGGCAACAAAGCACATTTATATTGTCTACGTAATCCCCTTACTAACAGTGTGATGCACATTTTGATAATTGACCATGATGGCAGAGATTTGACAAGAGAACCCTTCTCATTGAAAAAGGATGCATTTGTTAAATGAAGAAATATTGCTTACAGTCCTATGTGCATACAATTTCCTTAGCATCATTGTATCATAACATTGATTATCTTAAATGTGTATTTAAAGAATATGTTGTGTCATGTCAAAAAAGTTTGTTCGTTAAACATGAGTGCTATATGTGTCTTTGGTCTCAGCATACAAGCCACAGCATCGTTAGATAATTAGCTTGTCCTTGTCATTATGATGAATGCAGAGTCGTTAATACAGAGGACCCTCACAGGTCGGTGGACACAGTGGACCTCTTCACCCTCAGGCTTCCCCCCCAACCCCTGGGCAGAGAGTTGTAATAGAGACCAGGCGAGCGCAGACCCGAGTCCTCAGACTCCACTGAAGCATCTGAGTCAGTGAGGGAACGTGTGTTGTACAGGCGCGCTGGGGAGCACACCTGTGTTGGGGTGGGAGGGGGACTAGTGAAGGTGGGCGACTGGGCTCCTAAGGGGCGGCTGTGGAAGGGGCTCATGGGAGGTTTGTGAGAGTCAAAGCCATGATGAGTGGTGCCCATCGGGGTGATGGGGAGACTCTGGCCACTCAGGGCCCCAGGAGAAACACTGTTCTTCCGCTTAGCTGCATTGATGATGTTCTTTGCAAGGAGGCGGTGGTTAGCCTTTGTGTCTGTGTTGGAGACAATGGGAGACATGCAGCGGGTGTCTTTAGATGCGGGTACTGGAGAAGAGGCAGCAGATCTGTTCAAAGGTTTGGGAGAGAAGGGCAGACTACTCTGGGAGAGGGCTGGAGACTGGCAACGGGAGCCCCAGGGAGAGAATGGGGAAGTGGCTGTAGTGTTCGACGCTCGGGATGAGGACACAGTGTGATTCACCATAGGGGACTGGCTTCTTGATCCCCAGGGAGGAGACACAGGAGAGGTGTGTGCAGGTTTTAAAACAGTGAGGAGAGCTGGTGGATTGTGGTTCCCAACTGGGGATTTGCTCCTGGTTGCCCATGGAGGTGACACCAGGGAGGTGGCTGTTTGTGAGGGTCTTGATGTGAATGCAGTGGACGTTTGAAATTGGGTCATCATGGGAGACTGGCACCTTGACCCCCAGGGGGAAGGAAGGGGAGATGTGGTTGTTTGAGTGGGCCTGAAAGTGGGGCTGGTGGGACCCTGTGTGTTTGCTGGGGATTGACATCGTGATCCCCAGGGAGATGGGCTTGTGGGGGTCTGGGGTGGTCTGTACTGGACACTGTGAGTCTCCAAAGGGGACTGACACCTGCTGCCTCTGGGGGTGGAAACAGGGGAGAAGACAGAGGGCCGGGCTGGACTCCAGACAACCGTGGAAGGGTCTGCAGGGCTGCTGAAGCGCCGTGTGAGGCTGGCCCCTGCCCGGGGTGCTGGAGACTCCTTTGAAGTGCTATTCAGGGACTCTTTTTGTGTCTGCAAGAACAAACATTTGAAAAAAATTACAGACAAGACATAAAAATAATAAGTGTATGTACTATTGATATTCATGTGCCTTGAGATTTGTGTGGTGTGCCTTTGGAAATAATCCAATACCACCTGATTGGTCAAAAAGATGTGAAATGAAAACATTTTGAAAAGAAGACATACTTGGAGACTGCAGAGTTTCATGTTTGTATCAGTATCAGCTGGTGGTGTGCCATGTGCCGGCATGTTGGGTGATATATACTATTAAAAAGCTTACGGTTCCGCACCTTATACCTTTCTGCAAACAACCCTTACTTCAACCCAAACCTCATAGCAATGTTTGTTATGGGGAAATTTGGACCTTTTCTTTTACGTGCGGACTGGACAGTGATTGGCCTAGGGTTGGAGGTGGACTGGAAAATATAACGTTTATATTCCATGATTAATCTGTTCTATAGTGAGAAGTTTAATTGTCATATACAGAAAATTAAATTAAATCACATCAAGGATTAAGCAGCGAACATTGTTGAACCTAATTGACCTGAAACAATTTTGTAGATTTACAGTCTGTAAAATTATATGTAAGCAAAGAGAGAGCTTGCGCATAGTGTGAGTTTCTGCAAAAAACCGTGGTGCAGCTCACTAAGACCCCACGTCTGTCTCTTGTTACTGTTATCTATCTGTCCTAAGGTGATTAACCTTTACAAGCCTATAATGTTACACGGCCCTGGCGCTGGCTGCTGTCCATCTCATACACATGCTAATTAACAACACTAATTTAATACCAGACTTCAGCAATATCAGCTCATGGTAAACACCCATTCACTGTCTGCAAGCCATGACAGAGCACTGCTGTTATTAATAATAAGTGTGTATTAAGCTGTGCCATGACTGTCCAAAGTTATTTTTATTATCTTTTAAATGTCACATACTGCGTTCATGAAATTATCCAGTAAATTGAGTGAGTGTGTGTATATGTATGTATGTGTGTGCGCGTGTGCGGGCGTGTGTGTTAATGCAAGAATCATAAAAAGACAGATAGAAATGGAGTTGGTTTGAATACTGGTAGTCACTAAAATGAGTCAGTTAAAAAAGAAAGCAGACAAAAGAGGAAGTGAAAGATTTAATCAAACGGATCAGAGAAACAGAAAAGGCCCGATAGTCAGATGTTATCAAAAACACATTTTATTTTGTTTGGTAATAAGGCGCATTGGCTTGTGCAGGTTGATTGTTACTATAGAAGTGATATATTATAGTCGAAACAGAGATTGAATGAGGAGCTAAGTCTCTCCTGCTATAGCTTCCATGCAGTGTTAAACTGCAAAATCTCAGATCATAAAGCATATGCCAGACCATCTGTTAAAGTGCTTAGTGGAGCAGCCTTTCCCTGATGCCCGCAGTATTGCATAGACAAAGTGGAAAAAGTATGAGTTTGTCTCTCATTATATTTTAAGAACCTGTTTAATTTTGCATGTAGACTCAACTAACATGGGGCAACATGCATGAATTATATATTAAGATGCACATTGCTTCTGTGCAGCTGATGTGCAATTCATTTGTTTGAGGATTGTGATACATTTTCTCCAAATCATTCTTTTAGCAGCGGTCCTCACCTCGATTTGAATGACGACAAATGTATTTTGTTATAGGTAATAAACATAAAACCAAACTATATTCAAACTATCTTCAAACAAAGTCAAAATTGTGGCAACTACTGTTTTGTAATCCCCCCCCTCTTGAGAAATCACAGAAGAAGCTCAGAGAAAGTATAGTTTTGGAAATAAGTAAAAGAGTAAAGTGGCAGAAGATTCAAAGAGTCACAAGCATTTTAAAATCTGTAAAACGACGGCCTCCACACCTGTCCTTCGAGACCTGCTTTCCTGGCTGAGAAAGTGGGTCTCGGTGCCTGGGTGCCTGTGCGAGGAGAAGCCACTCGCTCTGGGGAGAAAGCCGGAGAGCTGATCCTCTGCTGAGCGTCTAGGAGCCCTGCACACGGACTCATTGCCAGTGGAGGAGGCATGCCCTGACTTCGGTATGGAGAAAGTGGGTTGCTGGGCATAGAAGACTGTCTGGGAAGCGATTGGGAGCGCATTATGTTTTTTGCTGTAGGTGCTCCTCTGGGCAGGGTGCTCAAAGGGTCTGGTTGCGCTGGCTTGAGGATGAAGAGAGAGGAGTCGAGCTGGTATGGTCGATGTCTTGACAAGTCCATTTCTATTTTGGAGCATCCATTCTCATTCAGAGCAGGTGGAGGAGCAGGCTGTGGAGCTTGCTGGGCTGTTGGCACTTTTGGCTTGGGCTTTTGCTTGGCAGCTTGTTGGGCTATTAGGTTTTGAGTAAGCTGAGCAGACATTTCTGAGTTCTTAGCAATGGCTTTAACCCTTCCTGGCATGTTGGATGGATAAACCCAAGACGGAGGTAGGGACATTGTGGGTGAAGGAGATCGCTGATGCGCTGGTTTTGGATTCTCAACAACATATTTATCCATTCTTGACTGGCGCTTGGCAAATAGCTCAGCCCCTTTCCCTGCCACATTTGTAAGTGCCTGCTCTGGCCTGTGCTCTGCCCTCGGCCTTGTTCTAGATGACTTTAAGCTAGAAGCCCACTCCGGTGATTTGGCAGCCTCTTCTTTAACCTCCTCTTTTGCAAGAAAGTTTGATGCCTCTGCACCCAAAGCCATCAGCTCTTCCTCTGTGGACGGTTCAGGGATTGATTTGCTCATCTTCTTTTTGGCGTCAACACCTTTAACCATAGAAAGCAACTCAGGATTTGGCGCTATGATTGGCTTTTCTTTGAAAGTAAACATTGCTTTTCTGTTAGCGCGGCGTGCTGCACCATCTTCTAGAATCCCAGTCTTAATTTGAATAGGTGTTTTCCTTTCTGATACAGACTGTGGAACAAAAACGGATGGTTTAGGTGCAGTTGGAGGGCCAAAGTGGGGATGGGAAGGGTAGTATTGCTGAAAATGTGGTGGAGGTGAAGTTGGAGATATTGGGGGAGGGCTTGCGTAGTAAGGATTAGGCGGTTGGTTTGTAAACGCCGGTAAAGGTGGTGTTGGGTAAGAAGGAGGAGGTGGTGGAGGGGAGAAAGATCCAGAGTAAGTAGGTAAGGGAGGGGTGGAGTAGGAGGGAGCGGGTGGGATGTCCATGACAGGGCTAACAGCCACAGGAGACTGCACAGTTGGCGGCGAGAAAAATGGCCTGGCAGTTCGATTGATGATCGGCTTGCTTGTGGATACAGACTGGCTCTCGGGCCCTGAGCTACTATGGCAGCCATTAGGAAGCTTTCCAGTGGGAACTGACCATGTTGTACTGCCCTCATTCATCTCTGCTTCCCCCTCGACACGGCCTATCACAACCGGATCAGTGTTATTACTTCCAGGGGGAGTTTCTGCCTTAACTATATCCTCGAGCTCCGAGTGGATTTTATCTTCTTCCACTGTGTCCTTGACAGGTAGAAAATGTCTATCACATTCTTCCGCTTTCTGGACGTCCTTACCTGGCTCTTCCATGATATCACAATTTGACATCCCAGTTGATAAAAAGATACCGGTGCTATTCTTTAAGTTCAAATCCTTCTCCTCACTGCTTCTCTCGGCCCATGTCAGCTTGTTAGACGAGATGTTGGGTGTCACATTATCCTCGCGTGACCCTGCCCTACGGCCACTCTCCAAAGTAAAAGCGTTTACTCTTTGCCGGCGCCGGTTGAAGAGCTGGACTCCTCTTGAGGTGGATTTGGAGGGGACAGTGAGCTGAGCGGCGATGATTTGACTTCTGACTCTTGCTTCTTTCAGCTCTTTCTCAGACAAACTGGTGCTGCGAGTCAAGTCTGGAAGCACAGAGACCACAAAAAGCTGATTTAGAACTTTTGTTTTTGGCTAATACAGAGACACTTGACAAGGCAATACATGATGTTTTATACACAGCCGACTCCCCAAACTTCTAATTAGTCACCACATCGCTTTTATGTACAAATAGACTACATGGGTGCCTTTTAACAAGTCTGGGATGAAGTATTCTCTTTGAAAGCCACATAATTGTGTTGAGACCATATGCTTTTGATTTGTCTTTTCTGTACTGTTAAATCCTTTTGAGAATAATAAAGGAAAAACAACTTTGCTGATAGAGAAAGGAGCAGACTAATGCTGCCAACTAAGCCATAGCTCTTTTTCTAAATGTGTTTGCACATTTTTGTACACATTTATTAGTTTAAATACTCTCATACTTGTTACTATGGCAATATAGTGATAGTGACCTATTCCACAGCCGTCTCTATGGTTCATTCTCATGTACAGTGCATACCAGAACTGAATACAAAATATTGTGTGTTTATTATTGTTAATAATATACTGTTTTTATACTGTTAAATATAATTTGTGTTGGCTGGTTTGATGATTTTGATCTGCCAAAGAAAACACAAAACCAAAAATATTGAAAATCAATAGACAATTAAACTTAGTCACTGTCATTTTTAACATCTGAAATTACTCCAAGTAGCCCACCTACCCTCATGGGTCCCATTCCTCAGTTGTGGAACACGGCCTATTTCTTCCATGTTTTTGTTGTACATTCACCCACCTTCCTATACCCAAATCCCACCTTAGTCAAAATAGGTGGGGCGATACTTTCAAATAAACACTATAATTCCCTGCCATCTACTGAATCAAGGCTTTCCGTAGATTGTTGAAAAATTATGTGATTGAATGTGCGACGACTCTGACAGTTTGTTTTCGGAGCTTGAGAGCCTCATTCCAGGAGCAGAGATATTTCCCTTGCCATCTGCAGAGGTCCCTCCCTGAGCATTCCTCCCTCTCTGAGAAAACTCCCTGCATCAGCTTCCAACATGCCTTTGGTTTTCCCTCTCCCACTTCAGTCTGAGCGGCCCAAAAAATTCTGCCTGGAAACTTCAACTTTTCCACAGCACAACTCAATATAAAAGAAGCATCAAGTTTATCAAATATTTCTAAGACTTCTTATATACAGTAGCTTGCTTTGAAAGGATTTAAGCCTGCAAATTGTATTTGATGATGTCAACTCCCATTGTAGACACATTTGGCGCACCATTTATCCATTTCATATTACTCTGCAAAACTTTTAGCAAACCACAGAGATATTTTTCATCCAGTCATCACTTTCTCTAGATGATATTAGGTGAATCAGGGCAATTGCTTTACTTGATGTCAGTATGTCACTTTCAATAAAACTTCTCATCTGAACAGTGGTATAACTCGGTATTCCCGTGCCTGTGCCCCTCTCCCTGGCTGCACCCGTAAAATAAAGCTTGTTCATGCTCTGCTGAAATGAAATAAAGTGCGTCTGTCATTGATTTTTACAGACTTGGAGCCTGCCCTTGGAGTAATTTGATTATCTTTTGTAGGGCACACTTCAGAAAACCCACCCAAGTTCAAAGGCAAGTTCCCTTTTTTTCTTTCAGTTTACGGCATGCTTGCTCCTTATTGGGCCTTTCTGTTTCGAATAAAGACCAAATCTGTCCAAACTTGTCTTTCAGAATTACAATGTAATCATATATTTTTATGCAGTTATTTGTTTGCATCTAATGTAGATATGTCTGCAATTGGAGTTAAAATGATCAAACAGAGTTTAACATGTGTTATTAATATGTATTTCATTGCATATACTTGTATGCAATGTGTTTCAGATTCAAAGTGTTGTCGCTGTTATAATGTGGTGGGTGGTCGGCCCAACTTTGGATGTGGTCAGCTATTTTATGATCTAAGTTACCTGAACATACCTCTATGCAGTGCATCGAGCCATGAAATGAAATGTCCTGACTGTAAACATCAGCTGCAGCCGACGCCAAAGTGACTATTATGTTACACACAGGTGCAAAGACCATCAGTGACTCAGATAAGCGTTGAGACACTGAGCAACAGCAAAATATATGAATGTTAACGTTTGTTACACTGGAAGAAATGTTATTAAAGCTGGGGTACCTAAGTTTTAAAACCAATGTATAATAAGGATGTAATAACATCTATCCTGCTCATTTCTCTTTCTCAAAACACTTTGGTTTTATTACTATAGTTTTCACATGCACCTATTTTCTGGCCTCTGTCATATATTTAGATGAGCTTCTTCAGACAGAAAAGTGAAAAGTAGAGAACCACCCAAACTTGGCAAATCAGCTCCAAACCCAAAGCGTCAAATAGTGACTAAAAAGAATCTTTCTTACCCATATGCATAATATCACATTTGTGATAAGACACATAAAGCATTTTGATTTCTTCAGAGATTGTTGAGATGTAGTATTTGCAAAACTAAAAAGATTCAAGTTTCTAGGTTTCAAATGCAATGCGCAGTTTCTTGTCTCTTAGAGGATATCAATTATTTAACTCAAGAGAGTCAACAGATGGATGACGCCTACTCACTGGTCCGGGTCTGTGGAAAAGGGAGCCCACATATAAGAGATGGAGATCTACCTGTATCATTCCAGGCAGAGCAACAAAGCCATCTGTCATTATCAAGCAGCAGAAAAGTTACATATGTGCCTTTTTTAAAATGCCACTCAATAATTCACTTTTCTCCTTCATTAGTTAATCCTGGATCATCCTATAATCCGTCTTACCTTGTCCACGCCAGAGCTCTTTCACTGCAGTTGCTGTACTTCCACCATGAGTTTTTGAATCTAACTTGTCTCCTCGCACCCCACTCGAGCCAGGCACACGGCTCGAGTTTCTGTTACTTTTGCAAACGCTGCGGTGAAGTCCAGTCGCCACAGAGCTGGAGAGAGAGACGAGGGAGGAGGCCAAAGGGGAGGTGTGCTCGAGGCCTCAATCTAATACATGAAGTCGAGATATTTTACTTGTTTTTTACCAGTACCAACTACTTTTCTCTCTCTCTCCCAACAGCTGTATTCTCTGATTGCGTCTAATCTCTTGAATGTCTCTGAGAGCTACACCGGCCCTGGGGACTTTCAGTGGAGAGCAGTATTGACATTTTGGGCTGTTGCACTCGCTCCACACTTTGTTATGACACTTCTGAAGAGGTGTACAGTCAATGACACAAATCGAGTTGCTTATCTCCTCTAATGGCCACTAGTGTGTGCCTGACAGGCTTTGATGTGGGAAAGAGGAGCTGCAGTTACTTGAGTAGTCAATATGGGCAGATTAAAGTCGAGATTGGCCAGCAGGTCGAACCTCTGACCTTGCACTTTGTCTGGTTATGAGTGAGTTGTGTTTAGCGCCGCTTTGGCCTCTTTGAACCCTCTTGTGCTACAAGGGCAAGAGTGGAATTTCCTGTCCATGCTCGACAATCTACTGAAACATGTGACAGACTATGTTAGGCAAAGCGGTCAACACCACATTTGCAATAAGTTTTCCACTGCTGGTTTGGGTTGTTTATAAAGTTTATTGATGTTAACTGTTTACATTACATATCAATGGGCTGTGCTGTATTGCTGAACCAGGGCAGTTTTCTGCTAAAATCTGGAACAATCTTCCTGAAAGTGTGAGACAGGTCTCTTCTCTGATAATGTTTAAAACCATGTTAAAAACAGTTCTGTTTCGCTGTGCATACAACTGAGGTTTATTTTTATTTTTTATATCTTTCTTTTTTATGTACTGTGATCTTATTTTGTTTGAACACTTTGAGTTGCCTTTATGAATTGTGCCATACAAATAAACTTGCCTTGCCTTCCCTTACAAATCTTTCCGTTGTTAAAAGTAGCGGATTATACACAGTCAGCTGCTTGTCTCATGTCTCACTGCTTTGCCTTGAATTATCCAAATGGCATTTTACCAAATCAATAGAGTTTCATTAAAAAAAAAATCTGAACGAGAATTCCGTTATCTCAGAAGTCTGAAAGTAAAACTGGTGGTATCATCTGCGTTTTCCATCGCTATGGTTATGTTTCTTGTCATATACATCCTAATCAAATTAGCATCTCCATGGTTACAAGACATGCATTCTGAACAATTTATTGCCTGTCTGAAGGAAAGCGTTTCACAATTATGTTTGCTTACATTTTTCATTTTTGTTTTTTGTCTATTTTATACAACATTGACATTTTTAGGTTAGGTTACTGAGAAACATTCACCATTTTATTCCATCCGCTGACATGCATTGCATCTTTACCATGGCCACCTCGAGCCCTCCTCCCCTTTGGGGCCAAAATCAACCCCTAAATCACACACAAAAGCAGGGGGATTTGAGCAGGAGTCCAGCTCTCGCTTTTGTGTATAAAAGGTCAGATTACCCTGTCGGATGTTATCTTTCTCTGGGGCGAGCGGGTGACAGCAGCAGCCCCCGTGGGTGTCGTGTGAAACCATATGGAAAGACAGAGATTAACACAGGTTTGGGGACCTCTCTTTTGGCTCCCATGGGACAGAAAACAACAACAAAACGTTAATGGTATTGTTATTTTGTGCAACAACCTGATTGGCAAAGTCATATCGCCAAAAGGGGCAATTATTGGACTGACTGGGTAGGAAGGGAATCCAGCCAACCATGTACAAGATAATTATGTGTTGTGTTGCAAGAATCACGTTCACCTACAGAATTCATTACAATTTTAAAGCCCAAGTACCTAATCCCCGCCCATTAATACATACATACATATTGTTGGTCCAGAAGGAGTGTTGAAAAAGTAAAACTGTGTAAACAAACCTGGCCATAAATGACTGTAAACAAGTAAATGTTTACATGCTTGTAAGAGAGAGCTGTGTGGATCTCTATTTGACTCTTTGGGCTGAGAGAAGATCTAAACATGTGACAAAGGCCAAAAAATACATGCATTTGAAAACTATTGATAACCTAAATGTTTTGAAAGGGAAGAAATAGTTACACGGATTACACAGTTAATTGATTTGTGGTTTGAAAGTTAGTTACTCCAGCTTTAAGTTAAGATTCAGATACAAAAAAAATCACTGTATGTGACAGATGTGACATTTGTACAGTAGTTATATTATGAACATCACCTTTTTCTGTGCACTTTGTCCCCTGTGTTTTGTCTATGTTCTGTCTTTTAACATACCCTGGCTTTTTCCCCTGGACTTACGTGGGAGTTGACAGATGTTAAAGTCAAACAAATACGTTTCCAATGAGCTTTTCCCACCAGCTCCCCCCAGTGATTTTCAGCGGCTGCGGCTCCCCTTTAGCTATGACGCATGATTGCATTTCCATAGTTGTTAGAGAAGCTTGTACCTTTACAGCATGGAAACAGATGTTGCATGTGTCAGACCGTGCTGCAGAGGATGGGACTATGGATTTTTGCAGGGGCCATCAAGTCAGTCAATGCTCATAGGGATCTCAAGTTACATGTTTAATACAGTAATAAAAAATTAAATCGGGTCTTTAGGCAAAAAACAAAACATTAATGGGCCTTTGATTTGTTGTATATACAAGCTGGAAACCCGCAGTGCAACCCATTAGCAAACCAAGCAACGGAAAACTCCACGTAAACAAATACTCACTTGTTTTCCGGCTCATCTGGTCTTTGTTGAATTCGGATGATTTGCTCCATGATGCATCTGAGTCTGGGACGTCCTGCTGGTACTGCTGGTGCTCTCTCGGTCGCCCCGGACAGCTCACACCCCTCTCTAAAGTCGTGTGTCCTTGCTCCATCGCAACCTCTGGCATGTAGTCTTGACAAAAATTTCTCTATGTACTCTTGAAGAAGCGACTCCTGTTTATTTAACCTGTCAAAAAGTCTTTCCAATGATTTTTCTGCAGGAGTATTTTTCACCAAAACAAAACAGTCAGGTTGCAAATGGAAATAACAGCTGGCTCTTGATAAGCTTCTTCTTCCAATTTCCCCTGCAGCTTCGAATGAATTTTGTATGTTTTCTTTTTAACTCCCAAGTTTCTGCTTACGTCTTCACCAATAATCCTCACGCAGTCGAACAAATTTTGCACAGAGAAGTTCACTTTTCGTTTGGACCTCCCACAAGGACGAGCTCCAAAATTCTCCCTGGCTGAGCAAGCATGGAGACCAGCCAATTTAACTTGCACAATTTTTGACTTTCTTCATCTCCTCCTTGTTCTATTTCTGTCTCGGTTGCATGCTAGTGATCGTCCAATCCCGGTTCTATTTTCCTTAAAGGCGTACGGATCGGCTTCTTTATCTGGCAGATCATAACTGTTAAGTGAAGGAGAGAGGAACTGTGTGAATGGTGGCTTCCTGCTGCTCCAAGCATGTGAGGAATAATAATTCAGTCTGCAAAGGTCGACCGATTGTGTGCACTGTTTTGCTTTCCCTTATCTTAAAAGTCCTTTTTGTTGATTATTAGACGAGTTCGGGGTGGAATGTTTTTCTCTTGATTAGCTCTGAATAAGGTCCAGCGTTTGAAAGTTGTGTGGTTTGATGTCCGGCCTGTATTTTGATGCCCGGACAGCAATCTTCACGGTTAGTTGACGGATCAAGGGCACAAATGTACTTGTCGCTCGTCTGCTGTGGTCCAAGTTTCCTAAAACAGAAAAATACAAGTTTAGTCCGGTAAACTTGGCTCTTACATGTTGATGGAGCAATGCATGAAACATAAGAAACGCAATGAGAATGTGATTTGACATACAGTATTTATTTTGTTATACATTTGGTTACTGTACTTTCTCAACACATTCAGCATTATAACAGGCCATCTTAAATGTCCTAAATTACTTTCCCAGTGCGTTGGATAGCTTCCCAAGTAGCATATGCCAGGACTGGTATTCATTTTCATGGAAATAAGGGTTCTTTTTCTTTGAAGATGAGATCAGACATTTGTGCTTTATGATGATAAGGTGAAGAAAGAAATGTGGAGGCCCTTTTGTACAAGTTAATGTGGTCTTCAACACCGAGTGCCAGACTTTAAGTGATTTTGCAAATGCATGGATTGATTTTGGAAACAGAAGTACATCTTAAAGTATTACTTTTCCGATATACAAGCCATAAAATGGAGTTTCATTGCTATGTGAGAAGAGAAATGATAAGGCATAATGATACTTGTTCATTTGAATGGTTTGTAATAACTATGAACAAAACAGCTCAGATCGTTTAAATGTTTTGTGAAAAGGACTGTCAGCCATAACTGATAGAATGATAACTAACGAAGGCCTGGCATCTGTCACTTTGGAGGTAATGAGTCTAAATCATATCTTGGTTTTGCATTTTAAACTGAATTGTAGATGGACAATATTCTAATTTTCACCTAAACACCATCATTTTAGTAAGAGGGCCACTTTAGTTCACCAGACTAGTCCTGGGGCCTACATCACGGACTGAAAAACTGTCTTGACTGGCATTGGGCTGTTCTGAGTTTTATAATGTGTCATGGTTTAGATTCATTTCCTGTTTTATTTTGTAATTTGTTATATCCCTGTGTCTGCTTTGGTTGCTCTTCCTGTGTGATTACCTGCCCTGCCCTCCAGCCTTGCCCTCATGTGTCTCACCTGTTTCTCGTTAGTCTTGTATTTAGCCCTGTGTGTTCCTTCACTCCCTGTTCCATCATTGTCATTCCTCGTCTGTTTTAGTTCGGTCCTCGTTCCCTGTGTTTTTGGAAGTTTTGGTGTTTGCTTTTTATTAAATCCATTATTTGTTGCAGTTTTGCATTTTGGGTCTCATTTAATTTCACACACGTGACATAATGATCTATAACAGAGTTGAAGTTGGCTGAGTGACAAATGTTTACTATCTCACCAGCTACATTAGCACCATTAAAAGAAGTGACAATGATCAAAAACCACAGTATGTGCAAATAAAGTCAGCAACACAGTGAATATGTGTTTACGATCTCCCAAGACTACTTTGGGTTAGCAAGGCAGAGGGCCACATAAAATGACACTGAGGGCCGCATTTGGTCCCCGGGCCTGAGTTTGGACATGCCTGATCTATTTAGTTTTACTTTGTCAGCTTCCATTCTTGGCATCCAAAAACACAATAAGCATTTTTCCCGCAAACAAATAGGCCGGCAATATTATTTAATGCCCTAATAAGTGAGATCAATCAGCAGGATTTGTATTTGCTTCATTTTGACAGGGATGAGGCAGCTAAACAAAGACAATCATTATTTATAAATGGTTTATCACAGAGTCAGATGTGCTCCAGTGTGTGCCTGCATTCTTGATTGCTGTCTGACATGAACAGCTGAGTCAGGACTCGCTGTAAATCTCTTTTCAACACAATCTGCCCAAACACAACACAGGCCCCACCTTCACCCTGCATAAAATAATCCTCTACTGTTTGGCTCCCTGGTGGGGCTGTGACAAGTGAGAGTTGGAGAAGAGATCGCATTGTTTACGCAGCAACAACAGCCCTTTGATTTGTGTAGACGCCTGGTCCGTGGCGACTCCAATCTGGATCTCATTTGGGAGGCTGACGCTGCCTCTGAGCCCTAAAACTGAGGCTCCATCATGTTTTTTCTCTGGTCCCTGCTGTCTCTCAACATAAGCTGTTGACTCTCATCAGTGGGAGCGGAGGTGTGCTGAGTGGATTACGTGAGAAAATAGGGTTCGGATGTTGGCTTTGATGAAATATTTATTAAGTGCTCGAACAGATTCTTCAGACAGGCATGAGAAGCAAGGCTGAAGTGAGACGCATCCATGAGAGCAGCGTACTTTTCAAACTTAAAAGCTGTAAGATCAAAGACAGTAGTTAAAGCTGGGGTACCTAACTTTTATAACTTTTAAACCACTAGTTCCTCACCCTGAAAACAAATTGACACTATCACTGGTTTTTAGATGCTTTTATTTTGGCCTCTGTCATGTCTTTAGATCAGGTTTTTCATTTGGAAAAGGGAAAAAGTCTTTCTAAAAAGGCAACCGAGTTTTGGTTCAAGATTGCTGGGTATAAGAATGATTTTACTTTTTAATTTGTTGACTGATTTTGTACAGTCTAGGCAAATATATGGCAATATATTTACAAATACTGATATTAATCGACGAAATCAATAAAATATAGTGTATAATGTTGACTGAATAACAAGTATTGGATGGATGCCTATAGTTTGACACGTTTTTTTAGTATTATCTTTAATTATAGGATATGATGAAAGCAGTTGATAATGTATATTCAAACTGTAGTCGCTCTTGCCACTTGCAATAACTTTCCCGTTCCAGATACTCCTTTTTTAAATCCTACCGAGATTAAATTTCTCATGAAAAAAGAACATCCCTCCCCTCCTCCTCATACCTGAGCCATGACATCAGCCTGCTTCCATCGCTGTACAGTTCAAAAGGTGTGAGTACCCACCTGCCCCGTCCCCCGTCCCCCCGTCCTGACCTCTCTGAAGCGTATCATTTACAGTGCAGCACCCTCCGGGCCACTCGCTGTAATGACACGCTCCCTGTACATCGTCAACACTGTTCTTAGGCCGACAGCTAATTTATCTTAAAATTTTTATCATGGCGATGGCACAAATGCTATGCTTTTGGCAGACGAGCTAGCAGTCATTTTTCACTTGTCCCCCTCAGCAGTTTGTACAGAATGTAAAACACATCTGCATGACACACTCAAGTGCAAATGATAGAGAAAAATGTTTATCGACAGCTTTAAAAGCATGAAGGAATGAGAGACGGTGAGATACCTGAGTCGATGGAAATGGTCAAGGTATTTCACCCCCAAAAATATAAGTGAAAAAATGTATTATAACTACATTACGATAGTACGGTATAGCTGCTGCTCTTAAAGCTGGAGTATATGTTTCAAACCAGATTTCCTTGCTCTTAAAACAGTTTGGCTCGATCACTAGTTATAGGCCCCTGTCACACCTTTAACATTGGATGCATTTTTACGAGTCAGAGGACCACTCTTTTTCAGCCAATCAGCTTTAAGCCCATAATGTCAAATATTGACTCAGGGCTCCAGCTACAAATATGTAAAAAGAAAAATATGTTGTTTTTTTTCTAATAAGATGAAAACCCCATGTTGTGGATGGACCAAATATGTACAAGACTCTTTCTTTTGGGACAAACAAAAAGAAAGTGTGGTCCCCAGCTTTAAAGTGCTTTCAAGGCACTTTTTAAGTTTGAATTTGGGAATTTTGAACACTTGGAATATATTCCTTAACAAAAATAGTGTGTGTTCTCACATTGATTCACAGTTCAAGGCTAAACTTTGCCATGGCAGTACAACCCTGAAAATAGTGTTTGAGACAGGAAGCCAAAACCATCAAAGTATCATAGGTTATAATGGTTTAAAGGTGGCACCTGCTCATGACGTTGACTGTACAGGCCTGATTGAACTCCATCCAGAGTGACTGTGTGAAGTTTACATTGAGGAATGCCAAGATCATTGAGCCGCTAAAGGTTTCTGCAGAGTGCTTTGCTTTCTGTCACTCAATGCACACAAAGGCACATTCAAGAGCGGAAATAATTTTAGGTAGTGCTCCAAAATTGCAGTTTGTGTTGCACTGGGGGGGCATGATGGTTGGACATGCCTATGCCTGTGCTGTAACTGATGACTGACATCTGAACCACTGTGGGCTGTGCACCTGAGTCCACAAAAGTGTGTTCATGGGATTCGACTGCAGGGAAATCATAAAGCATGCCAAGGAAACAATGTAATGAGATGTTTCAGCATCTAGTGCGGCCTGCTATCAGCGGCACAGGTGCTGAGGAGGCTAAAATAAATAGTTGAAGTAGGTGCATGTGATGTAGTGCCAACAGATGAGCTTTACAATCAACAGCATCCGAAAACACTTAAGGCATCAAGGCTTGAAAAACCACACACTTTGTCAATATGTACAAAAGCTGCAACAGTGTCAATAAGTGAGACAAAATAAACATGGCTGTTGCTGCTGTACAGTTGTTAATGATAATGAATTGAATGTAAAAGTTGTGTGTCTGTTGCTGTATGGTTGTCAGTATAGATGCAATGAAACATTTGTTATGGTTCTAAAACTTATGACAACTAATAGAAAAACATACCAAATGTATTTGTACTTTTACTTCTGAGCTGCTATCAAACACCACAAGCCTGTGTTGGTTTTCTGCACTTTCTTCCTCATGCCTGTCCTACATGACAACATGTGGTTTAAGCTCAAAGTTGCCCCCTGTAAAGACTTTAACAGCTTTCACCTGTTGTGTTAACAAGTAGCAATTAGTTATAAAAGTTAAGTAAGTTAATACACTCATTCAACCCGGCACTTTAATTGGATATCTCCTCTAAAGTTACAAGTGTGCATGCAGCCGGGACAATGGGCTCACATTTCAATGACCACTAATGTGTCCAACAACCCTCTTATTCTACCCGATCTGCGACTCAGCGCCGAGGGGGAAAACAGCCTCCACAGATGTTTGTCATCTACTCAACAAAGCAGAAGAAAGTTTCCACGCTCACTCAGCATGCAAGCAAAGATAGAAGCTTTCTCTGTTGCAGATAACAAAAATGTATTTAGAGTTCTGTCGACTTGTAGAAGTAGCAGTACTTTTGATGCAACTCACCTGGACTCCTGGCTATGCGAAGCGGCAAATGCTCGTTCTGCCCCTTTCTGTTGGAAGCACACTCTCCAAGCACACTCCCCTTCCTCCACTACCTCCTACCTCTGCCCTCCTCTCTCTCCTCTCTCTCTGTCCTGTCTCTTGAGCGGCCGAAGCAGACAAGGGGAGGGGGGGCACTTGGAACACAGAAGCTCTTTGTCTGGGATCTTTTCATATGGTTTCCTTCAGCTTGCATACTGAACACATTATGCCATAATATATTTTCATATTCTCCACAGGGACCAGAGGGCCTCACTGTTCAACCCCCTGTCAACCCACCCCTTTTTGATCAATTTCTTGCTAATAAGGACATCAAGAGGAGATATCAAACACATTTCATTGCTATAAGTTTTAAATAATAGATTGAAACTCTAGAAACAATCCCATATGTAATGTAGAGCTTTGTGGTTGGTCATCGCAGCTTGTTGTATGAATATTTAATGTCTACATCGACTGCAGGGATATGATCTGTGATGTCGTGGATGATCATGTCCAAGATCACTGTGCATAATGATTTATTCAATAGATCCCAAAGACACAATCGCTGTCACACATCTGCTGTGTGTGGTTTACTGTTTGAGTGTGTTTGGTAATGAGATGTCCAACTTCATAATGTAAATCTACTGTAACGGCACTCTGCTATTCAGTTCAGTGCAGGGGTTAGAACATCATAAACATAACTAAAGTTTTGTTTGTCCCAACAGAAAAAGTCTTAAAATATTGTGACAAATCAAAATGCCGTTTTATTAGATTTTTTTTACTTGAGTATACTAGGTCTATGAGACACTATTCAATGCTTATAAGGTCCTGGGTTCTAATCCCGGTCGGAATGGGGTCTTTCTGAGTGGAGTTTGCCTGTTCTCCCCATGCTTGCATAGGTTTCCTCCAGGTACTCCGGTTTCCCCTACCACTAAAAACATGCACACTTCCAGCTCTCGTAGTCCTGACCAAGCTTAGCATCAACATTTGGAGATGGGTTCCCGGGCGCTGTACTACGGCCAACACTGCTCCTGGCGTAAACCTTAGCGGCAAAATGCCAAAACATACATGCATGTAAAAACTATAGTGATAGAGGCAAACTGTTTTAGTTACATGCTATTGATAGTTGCATGTTATGACATAGTTAAAGTGTGTTAAATCTATTTTTGACTATGGAAAAGTGGTTATAAGTGACCCAGTGATGTTCCAAGTCCAATGAACAAATACTTCGGATTGGAAATTCTATATAGCCTCCCTTCCCCCCAAAAAAAAGAGAAAAGAGAAAAGGGAAGACTATTTCAAAGCTGAGCTGCCTGGAGTTGAATTATATAGTGGGAAATGTCTGTTGTACTTGAGCCAGACTTCTCAGTAACATCTTGATCACTCTCTCGCTGCAGGATAACCGCAGCTTGTGGGCGCTCATACATTCGTTCAGATAGGTCACTTAAAGTTTACCAAAACACCCACCAGCCTCTTTACTCCTGCTGCCAATGGTGACTGCATTCATCATTGGGAATAGAAATCGTGCTTGTGTCTTCAGTGACAGCGGCTGTGCTGGCGGTGCAGAATTTGGTGTGAAACATAAATTTGAGGAGCCTGGCCCCCGTCTATATGTTTGATCGATGACTTTGCCCAATACTGCGACTATCCATCATTTTGTGGCTACAGAGTCTCATCTTTTGTCCAGCCCCTTTTTTGGTAATCCTCATCCACTTAAGGTTCACATCTCTTACCTCTGGCTACCCCTTACGCATCTGTCAGCACATATTGATTTAGATTTAGGTTATCTGTGTATTTCTTCAACTTATATAGTCTTACATTCCGCGCGTGGTTGTCCACAATGTTGATGCTTTTCTTGACAAGTTTATGCTAGACCTCGTGTGAGTGGGATAAAAGCCATTATCTGCTGTCCATCTTGTTTTTTCATTGGTTTTCTAAGCTCAGCAATGGCGTGACTCTCTGAAGGGCAGCTGTGTGTGTGTGTGTGTGTGAGGAAATGTTGCACATTCCTCAGAGAGAAAAGACCTTTCACTTCTCAATGTGGAAATTCTGATTTGATCCGGTTTGCATTGTCCACAAGTCATAAGCCGGGTGCACAGTTGAAGTTATTAGGGCATGTGTTCACAACTAAATTGATTAAAATCATGGTCAGGCTTTTCTCTGGTTTGTTTCAGTGGAGGCATGGCTTATGGATTATATAAAGTTATGTTTGTGTGTGTGTGCTGACGTCACCCACTCGTACAACAGACTCCCCGGGGCAGGAATCTGGAGGGAAATTTATAGCAACAACCCAGCAACAAAAGAGCCAATCAGGAGCAGCAATGATCTTCTTTTGCTTGTGCCTCTCGAGAGCAACATAATGGTGAGAGTGACACAGTTTACAGAGCAAAATAAGCAAGAAGGAGCAAAACTTTGCCCATGAACACTTTCCTATTATTATATTCCTAGAGCAGGACTTTTGTTTTGATATTTAATAGTATATTCTACCAAACCTTCATTCCTCTGAACTAAGGCATATCCAGTTTGTGCATGTCACCTATGGCCATAAAGAAGTAAGAACAGTGTGGTAGATGTCATTGATTATCAGTTCACTTTGAATCCAGACGTCATTAGCAAAAGGTGTCAGCTATTTTTCTCGTCAACTTGCCATCATTCAATCAAACTTGAACTGTGCACATTGTGTTCAATAGATTTCCTGCGTCACTGTGGCTACAAGTTTAAGATTTACAGCATGCGGATCACTTCCATATTGTTTTGGTTGGATGCAGTATGTTTCAAATAAAAGGTTTGCAAAGTTTTATATAATGTTGTTGGTTTAAATGGGAAACAGGCTTTAGCTGGTACAAAGGAACAATATGGATATGGACTTTCAAAGTATCTCTAATGTTTAAGGATGTTTCCAATTGTAACTTCTCTTAAAGCACAGCCTCACCTCGTGCTTTTGTACTTCAATATAGTAAGTTCATCCTCTCGCCTCCATCGGGCTCTCACACTCCTCCCCTCTCTCGTCTCCTTTGCCTCTCTCCCCTTATCCCCGTACTCTGGGTATCAATCTATCTTGCTTCCCCTCTCTTCCTGTCTATTGAATCTTCAATATAGTAAGTTTGGTCCCCTCTCCTCCTGCGTCGATCCTCTCCTCCCTCTCCTGGTCATCTCTATCTAGCTGGTGCCCCCTCACTCTCCTGGTCTGGGGGGCTGGTTGTCCTGTGGCGTGGTCCCCCTCTCCAACCTCTCGGGTTCTCAGGTCCCTGGGTGGTCCTGGGAGGGTACCCTCTCTCGTGGTCCCTCTCGGGGTGTCGCTGGCCTGTTACCTCGTGTCCCTGTCTTGGGCCGCGTGGTCGCTCCTCTCTCCTCCACCCTGGGTGTCCGCGTCTCGCACCGCCAGTCCCCCTGGTCGGTTGGGTGAGATGCTGTTGGGTCCCCTCCCCCTCTGTGGGGTCCCCTCTCTCCGCCCTCTCGACCCTGGTGGTGTCCCTCCTCGCCTGGTATGGTGTCTCCCCCCCTCCTCGTCGGGGGTGTTCCACCGGTCGGTCTGGGGTCTGGTTGATGGTCTGGACCCGTGCTCATCTGGTCTCGGCACTCCTACTCTCCCTGTCTCGGGGGTTTGTCTCTTCCTCTCTCCTCGTCCTACTTCTCTTCTCTATCTCTGTGGTAATCTCTTTCTGGTCTCTCTCTCTCATCTGTCTCTGCATCCGTCCCCCGACCCATCTCTTCGCTATTCAGTCCGCGTCGCATCTGGTCTCTCTCGTCGCCGGCAGTCACTCCTCTGACCTACGACCTCGCACCCTCTCCTCGCTCCTCTCTGCCATCTCCGTCTCCTTGCCTAAGCCCACACCAGGCCTCTCCCTGGTCCCGCGTCTCTTCTCTCTTCGCTGCCTTCGCATTCTCTCATCGCTCCTCTCCCCGTTCTCTCCTGGGCCATCTCGCTCACCTTGCTCCCTCTCTCGCTGGTCTCCTCCTCCCGCTCACCCTCTCCCTCACCGCGGTCCTCCGACCTCTCACCTGGTTCTCTCTCCTCTCTCCCCACCCTCTTCATCTCGCTCACCCCTCTCTCTCCGACCTCTCGTCCCGTCTCTGTCTCTGTCTCGCCTCTCGCCCGGGCTCCTCTGCTCCGTCTCTCTCCTCTCTCCTCTCCCTCCCCGCCCCTCAATCTCTCGCCTCTCGGTCCCCCTCAACTGTTCTGCCACTGCCCCCCCCGCCCCCCATCTCTCTCTCCCCCCCCCCTCTCACTCTCACTCTCTCTCTTCCCACGTCTCGATCTCCCCTCTCCTCTCTTCTCTGTCCTCTGCCCTCCCTCTCTCCCGTCCTCGCTCCTCCCTTCTGGTGGTCACTCCTCTCCTCCTCGCCCTCTGGTCCCTCCGTCTCTCCTCTCCGCTCTCTCTCTCTCCCTCTCACTCCACTCTCTTCGCTCCTCTCACTCTCCTCCCTTCGCCTCTCCTACATCTCTCTCCTGGTCTCGTCCTCTCCCCTCTCCTCACTCTCTCCTCTCTCCTATTCTTCTCATCGCTCCCTCTCTCTCCCTTCGTCGTCTAAATCTCCCGTCCCTCCCCTGGTTCACTGACATGCGTCTCTCTGCCTCTGGCATGGGCTCTCTACTCCGCTCCTCTCTGGCTGGCCTCGTCTCCCTCGTCCCGGCTCTCTAACTCTCTAGGACTCAGCCTCTGCCCCCGTCCCTCCGTCTGTCTCTGGTTCCCCCTCTCTGCGCTCTCTCTCCTTCTCTGGTCTCTCTCCTCGTCTCCTGGTCTCTCCTCATCTCTCTGCCTGCAGTCGTCGCCTCTGGGACTCTCCTCTGGTCTCCTCTCTGTCGTCGCGTTCCCTCGCATTCCCTCCTCCCCCACCTCCTCTCTCTCGTCTCTCAGTCTCCTTCCTCTCTCTCACTCTCTCTCGCGCTCTCTTCATCTTTCCCCTCTCCTGCCCCCGACCTCTCTCTCTGGGCTCTCTCCGCTCCGCTCTCAAATGGTCTCTCTCTTCTCACTCACCTTCTCTCCACTCGCGTCGCTCCTATCCTGCTGGTGGTGTGTGTGTGTGTGTGTGTGGTGTGTGTGCACGCACTTCGTTTTCAATCAAACTCCTGGTGGGGGTCCATATCCTGTAGATTCGACTCAGTCCCGGCTGATCATGAACTTACAAATATTTGCAGGTGCCATTCATGGGAGAATTAGTGACCCAGAAAGACTTTTAAAGAACAGTGCTATTTGTCCCACAATTCAATATTAATTGATATTCGTTGCTTTCAGTTCTTACAATATTTTTGACAGTTTTGTGATTGATTCTTCTGTGATTGATTGAGATTTTTCATGTCCCTTCGCATATATATTATAATCAAAGACTTTTGATAAAAAAATAAGACAAAACTTTATCAAAACAAAACAAAATCATTTAAAGCAGAAACAAGGACTCAACACTCTCCGCCAAGAGACTCAACTACTTCAACTCAAAGCAAGAATGTTAATTTAATTATGAATCTGTCCTCTTGTGTTCTCTTGAAAAAATCTTTTTGAAAAACTGAAGCAACACTGAGGGAAGGTGAAGCAGCAGAGACGCAAAAAGCAAGCGTGATCCTGAAAAAGAAACAATCAAGGCAGAGGTTCATCAGGACGTAAACAAAAAGGAAAAAACTCATATTAACTTGCTCGTGTTTTCAGTTTTTATTTTTCGTTTACTTTTTTTTTTTTTATTTGTAACGAACTCCTTTTAGGAGTTTTTTCTTTCTTGTTTTTCCCCTCGATCATTGCTTAAAAAACAATTAAAAAAAAAACAAGAAAACTATTAATAATGTATTCTTTCTATTTTTTTTTCTTTTTTCTTTTCTTTTTCCCTTTTTTCTTTTCTTATTTCTTTTTTGTTTATTTTCCTTAGTTTTTTTTTTTTTCTTTCTTTTTTTTTTATTTTTTTTTTTTCCTTTTTTTTTCCTCTTTTTTCTGTTTTCTTTTGCTTTTTCGTTTCCTCTATTAATTATTTGCTGGTATTTGGCTTTTATTGCTTTAGATTAAATACACCAAGAACAGTAATAGTACACCCAAGAAACAAAAAACACATTTCTTCAAACGATAATTGTCCCACCGAT